TTATTATTATTATTATTATTATTATTATTGTCTACCTTTAAAGTTTGGTGGTCACAATATTGTTTCACTCAAGGACACAGCGTTGAGAATGAGATTAAAACTCCGCAATTATTTCAAGACAAACTCAAATAATGAAATACGTTGTCTTTGGCGTGAAACTGCGGTAAACTACAAAATGGTGGATAATTTGCTATCTAATTCAGCCACGTCATTTCAGTCTCTAAAAAAATTTGAAGATGGTCGTATTGCTGTTTCCCTAAATCACGTGGTCTTGCTTCAGGGTCAAGGTTCCCTAATCAAGTCGGTAACAAACGTATTATCATCTTCTCAAATAACAAACTGGTCTAAGAAACTCGATTTACTGCCAGATACTCTGTTTAAATTTGCTAGAAAATATTTAATTCAGCAACTGCCAACTAACGCTAATCTGTTTAGATGGGGTAAGACACTGAATTCCTTATGTCCTCTCTGTGGCGCTAAACAAACGAACAAACATGTAGTTTCCAACTGTGGATCTGTAGTCGCGTTAAAACGATATAGAGAAAGACATGATAGAATTTTATCAAAAATTATCAATTGCTTGATGTCAATCCGTTCGTCTGATTGCCTGATATTTGCTAATATCGTAATGAACGGAGTCCTGCCAATGTCACAACTGTTCGTCAACCTACGTCCAGACATCGCCATTCTACAGCGCAAAAAAATTGAATTCGTTGAGTTGACAGTGTGCCATGAAACTAATCTAATTCTTTCTAAAAATTACAAGCAATCGAAATACATTAATAATTTAAATTCATGTTTAACTTTTGATTATAAAAACTATGATATTATTTTAAAAACATTTGAAATTACTCCGATCGGCTTTTTTAATATTTTAAATTTAAAGTCTATTAAAATTTCATGCTCTAATACACTTATTGACATATTGATCAACTCTGTAATTAAATCGACATACGCTATATATTGCGATAGAAACATTGTATGACCATTTTAAATAAGCCTCCAATTTGCATTTATCGTATACTTGATTATTTTTTATTAGTATTTTATCTGGATTTTTATTAGTATATATATTGAAGATTGTATTATTCTGTATGTTTTATGATATTTGAGTGAATAAAAGAAGTGTTCCCATTATTATTATTATTATTATTATTATTATTATTATTATTATTATTATTATTATTATTATTATTATTATTATTATTATTATTATTAATAAAAGAGTTCCCATTATTATTATTATTATTATTATTATTATTATTATTATTATTGTTATTGTTATTATTATTGTTAGTATTGTTATTATTATTATTGTCATTATGACTATCTCTTGCAAATTTTATTTGGACTGAACAATTATGTTACGATTTAACTAATTCAGTAATATCATCATCATACGCCATCTATTGCGACAGACATTCAAATGTATAATAACTATATTAAGACTGATTACATTTCTCGTTGTACGCATTTTATATCTATAATGGCGAGCATCGTAGACTACTTTCTCATTTTAATTCATTTTATTTTATTTTATTTTATTTCATTGAATATTTATTTCGCCCCTTTTTTGAAAAAAATAAAAGAGTTCCTATTATTATTATTACTGCAGGGTGACCCCAGTTCACCTCTTCTTTTTAACCTCTGTTTCAACCCTCTAATGAAGATGTTGGAAAGAAATAGGACCATCTATAGGACCAATCGTTGTCGATTGGTCCTATAGATGATAACCAATTTATTACTCGTAATTTTTCTAAGAAAAATATTAATGGTCTTGTTAAGGCATTAGCTTTTCAAAATTGGAAACCAGTTTTATTTAATAATGATGTAGATTCGGCTTTTTCAGTTTTTGTTGATATATTTCGTTATAATGTCTCTTGCAATTACCCTATCATGAATTCAAATAGTAAAGTAAAACGACATCCTTGGTTAACCCGAGGTCTTTTAATCTCTGCAAAAAATAAGAACAAATTGTACTCAAAATTTTTATCTCACCCTACTACCTTAAATAAACAAATTTATACGTATATTTATATTTTTAAGTATAGAAATCTTTTCCCACACTTAAAACGTCTAGCAAAAAAAAAGTTTATAATTAATAATTTGGAAAAAAACAAAAATAATTTAAAACTCACTTGGTCTTTAATTAATAAATCTATTAATAAAACTAATTTAATTAAATTTCCTAATTTAATTAAA